AACTCACCTGGGGCAAGTAACAGGTTGGGCAATATACAAAGCAATAAAAAGGAGAACGTTCACTTACCTGCCTATTTGTCTGTCGTCCACACTAAGCCAACAGGAGGAGACATGTAAGAACCAAAAATTGTGCAAAATATCAACAATCTCAAGGTGTGCATCTCCAGAGAACTAGCTTTGTCCACAGTGCCAACATTATCAAGAAGTGGCACTGTAAATGGTGAACGGATGAGGAAAATCTTTGCAACGCAGTGTCCGGATGGCATTCAATGGGAGCATCAGTGTCAGCGCGAATACTTTCTGTATGCAAAGCACATGCATATAGTGAACCAAACTAAAAGGACGAAAAGCACTAGTTATGGACTCAACCAGGATTAGTGGGTTGTTGTCTTTTATATATATACATATGGTCAAAAACACACATTATACATACAAAGAACTTTTTTCATGCATTTTGCACCAGCTTATTAGTTTAAAACATTTATATACAGTCACGGCCGAAATAGTTGGCACCCTTGATATTTCTCCAGGAAATCATGTATTTCTCCACGAAGTATTGCATTAACACATGTTTTGCTATACACATGTTTATTCCCTTTGTGTGTATTGGAACAACAACAAAACAGGGAGGAAGAAAGGCAAAATTCGACATAATGTTCCCACCCCCTCCCCCACAACCACCCCCCCCCACCCCCCCCCCCCCCCAACCACAAAACTCCAAAATGGCTGGAAAAAGTATTGGCACCTTCCAATGCGGATAATTAAGAATGTTTTTCATGCATGTGATGCTCCTGTAAAAACTCACCTGGGCAAGTTTTTTGTGTGGCCCAATATAGAATATCACACCTGAAAGCAGATAAAGGGAGACGTTACACCTTACCTTTGCATACTTTTTTCATGCACTTTTTTGAGAAAAGCCACAGATGAGAGCCTTATTATTTAAAAACATTTATGGTGGAGGTTCAATGATGTTTTGGGGTTGTTTTGCTGCCTTATGTGTATCATGATTAGGATTAAATTTTGGGTCGCACTGTAGGGCCCATATAAGCTGGGTTTGCGTCCATATTCCAGTAGGACATACCCCAAACATACGTCAAAAAGCACTCAGAAATGGATGGCAAAGAAGCGCTGGAGAGTTCTGAAGTGGCCAGCAACAGATCAACAAATCCCTAATCCTGGTTGAGTCCATAAGCTAGTCATTTTTAAGTTCGGTTCACTATTGCATTTTTGATTAGGGATCCCGATATTGACCTTTTTCCAGGCTTCTGTTTAGGGTGCCAATACTTTTGGTTTTGAATACACTGCATATACTGTATATTCCACAAAATACCTACAAAAATACTACTGTTAGGCTGGCCATATATTATACAATTATCTGCAGATTTTCTGCCCAATTTCCTTTAGATTTACCTTTTTGACTATTCTGTAGTGCAAGGGCCCACAAAATACCTAATTGGGCCATACAACTGAAAGTGTTGTTTAGGTTTGTTGTTTAGGTTTGTCTCCTATTATATGGTTTTTGGTAAATCTAAACCAAAAATCTGCAGATAATTGTATAATGTATGGCCAGCCTAAGTCTCACACAAAATATAGAAATGGAGCCGACACTTCATTTGAAGCTTCCTTAATGGCTAACTCCAGGAATTAGGCAAAATCTACCCTTGCAGTGCAACCCCCCCCCCCCCTCCTGGAAATGGCAACCCCAACCCTCCTAGAAATGGCAACTAGTTCCCCCACTCCCCCTCTCCTGGAAATTGCAAAAATTAGAGCAGTATAAATCCCCAAAACAAAAGATTGTATTTTATTGCAGCTTAAGGTGATTGTAGCTGTATTAGTGCATTTGCAACAGAAACAACTGAGTACTGTCCGTGATACTTTTTTTATTTTCACTAATATACAATTTTGAGGACAAGCTTTCGGGGTATGTCCCCTTCTTCAAAGTCCAGCAGTACTATACAAATCACAAAGTTTCAGCAGAATGTTAAAAGGGATGAAAAAAAAAGGCTATAGATAAGATAGAGCAAAAGCAAGGAGGGGAGTGGGGGGAATACTACACTCACACAGAGGGAGTCAAGCTTCAGCTAATAGTCATAAAACTGTTGGATAATGAGTGAGGAATCCCATGTCCAAATTAACGCCGTTATCTCTTGTGTCAAATAGAATTATCATTCTTAGTTCAAAAGTTTTTCTTTCCTGAATAGATTTGAAATTTCCTTTAAGAACTAAAATATTGAGGTCTCCCATTGTGTGGCCTGGTTGTGCGAAATGGTGTCCTACAGGTGTGCAGAGGTCATCTTCTTTATGTTCCTTGATGGTATGTCTGGGCAAATTCATCCTTGTTTGCAACTTCTGTCCTGTTTCGCCAACATAAGATCCTTTGCTGCATTTTCTGCACTGGATAAGGTACACAACATTACTGGAAGTGCAGCTGTATGATCCGGAAATATTGAAGATCCCTTTTGAGTGTCTGACACTTTTTGATGGATTGATTTGGTTGCACAGTTTGCAGCGTTTTTTATTGCAGGGTTTGCTTCCATTATTTATGACATCATAATCAGAAGGAAGTTTCCTACTGATTTGTTTATTTCTGAGGTTGGGGGGTTGTCTGAAGGCCAGTATTGGGGGTTGTTGGAATATTTCTTTCAGAGTTCCATCCTCTGTTATGATGGGTTGTAAATCTTTGATTATTTTTCTTATTCCTTCTAGTGCTGGGTTGTATGTGGTTACTAGAGGTACACGGTTGTTTGTTTTTTTCTCCTTGTGCTGAAGAAGATTTTCTCTTTGGGTTCTCAAGGCTGTGTTTATGCTGGTGTTAATAGTTTTGTCCTTGTAACCTTTCTTATGGAAGGCATCTGCTAGTGTCCCGAGATGCGTATCTCTGTCTCTTGGGTCAGAACATACTCGGTGGTATCTAATGGCCTGACTGTGTATGATGGCACGTTTTGTGTGTTGGGGGTGGAAGCTGGAACTGTGGAGGTAGTTGCATCTGTCAGTGGGTTTCCTGTATACTGAGGTGCGAAGCGTATCATCCCTGATGTATACTGTGGTGTCTAGGAAGTTGACGTGTGTGTTTGAGTATTCCATTTTTAGTTTGATTGATGGATGAAAAGTGTTGATCAATGAGTAAAATTATTTTAGGTTTTCTTCACCTTCTGTCCATATGATGAAAATATTATCAATATAGCAAAAGTATCTGTATGGTTTTTGTTCCATGCTGTTCAGGAATTTCTCCTCCAGGTCAGCCATAAATAAATTGGCATATTGGGGTGCCATTTTACTTCCCATCGTAATACCCATACATTGAAGATAGATGTCTTTATTGAAGGCAAAGTAGTTGTGTGTAAGCATGAATTCATTGAGCTGTGTAACATCCTCAGCAGTGTATTTGTTGTTTGGTGAGGATGATAAGGATCTGTGACATGCAGCTAATTCATCCTTGTGAGGGATATTACTATACAGGGATACTACATCCATAGTCACTAGAAGTGTATTAGATGGTAATTGCTGTATGTTGTTGATCTTGTTCAGAAAGTCAGTTGTGTCTTGCAGGAAACTAGCAGTATTCATGACTAACGGTTTTAAATTTTTTTCTACAAAGCCTGAGATGTTCGGTGAGTGTATTCATACCTATTATGATGGGTCTGCCTGGATTTCCTGGCTTGTGTACTTTGGGCAGCATGTAGAAGTCCCCGAATTCTGGATGATCTGGAATCGCATTTATAAGTTCTGAATGTAGGTGGGCTAAAAGTTTTTTAATGAGACCTTTTAATTGCTTTGTAAAGTCCTGGGTCAGATCATAATCCAGTTTTTTATAGTAGATGGCATTTTCCAGCTGCCTCTGGCCTTCTTGTATGTATTTGTTTGTATCCATCACAACAACTGCTCCCCCTTTATCCGCTGGTTTGATGGTGATGGTTGCAGCTTACTAATTCTTGGTGGCTGCTTTTTTCCCTTTATATTCACCTGGTAATTTGGCCAATACGATTGTTATTTTTCACCTCCCTTTAACATACCAGGCTGTCCAGCAAAAGGGACAGTGCCACCGACAGGGGTGCTTAAAATAGTCAGCTTTTATCCACTTATGTAAGACCTTTATCCCACAAAAAAAATGTTGCTCTAACTACTTAAGTGTAAAGACCCTACAGATATGTGGAGCTTCAATCTTCTCACATCTTCTCCAGTATGCTGGTGAATTAGGTGGCTGCCCTCAAAAACCTGTCTTCGCTCTGCATTCAGGACAAACACCCAGGAAAAGCTGCACACTGATTTTGTCACTCCATTGATGTTTACGCACCCTGGCGTACTGGTAGTCCCTGTCTGTTACCACTCCCTTCCAACAGTTTCATCTTTATTGGGCTTAATAATAAAGTTAAATTAAAAAATGTAAGCTGTAGTTATTTTTCATTCAGTAGTTGCTCTGAAATAGCCTATTCATTTTCAAATCAAACACTTAACTCTCTTTGGTTTCCTGCTGGTAAGACTGGTGGCTGCTATGCCTCCTATTCCCCCAGCCACTGGTCTTGGCACATCCCTTCTGTAGTTACTTCTCCAGGAAGCAGGGAAGTAATTCAGCCCCACTTGCAGTGATGGACAAACCAAGACTCTCAGACACATTCAACATGCACAGGCCTAGTGTACCCGCTCACATTCACTACAGTTCCCTGTGGTTGATGGGAACTGTAATTTCCTTTTACTGCAGAGAGAGAGAGAAGAGGATATGATGTAAGCCCTGGTGTTCCACATCCTCCTTGGCAGAGCAGATGATGTTATCTTTTGAATTACAGAGATGAAGTCATGAAAATTCAATTAGACTTTTCTCCTAAATCATAAAGATTTTCAAAATATTAACTGTTTAGTGTTTTATATAGGGGAGTGTACTAATGGGTGATTTTTGTGCCTATCCCGGAGTTCTTCTTTAAGACAGTGTGCTACTGGCTGAGCCACCAGGTGAAAATAAAGGAAAACCATTTAAAAAATAAAAATAAAGCAGCCACCACTGTTAACCTACCTGGAGGTATTCCCGAGTGTAGCTCGGGGTAAAGTTTCAGCACCATAAACGGTAACCCCGAGCTACACTCAGGAATAACCTGCAGCACTGCTCCGGGATCTCTTCTTCACTTACATTGTCCTTCACTCTGCGATGTCCCTCCTGCAGCGTCCCCGGCAATGTCCTCCGGCCGATGCCGGTATTTGTCTTCTGGGTTCCGTTCCCTGCGACGTCAGGACGTACGGGGACGGAACGGCGGGAAATTTAAATATGTAAAAAAGTGACATTCACTAAATACACTAAAATCACATAGTAAAACATTACTGTATCAAAGCATTTCACATACATTTTGTCCCCAGTGCTTAGTCCTGTGCCCTGCCTGCATTTTTACCATTCTTTCTGCCTGGAAACTGAGAAACGTCCATGGCGTCCAAAAAGCGTCCCTTTAGGTCAAAAGCGGTTTTCAAATTTCAGTGTTTTTGGTTTGATTATATTATTTAATTAAATTTATTATTATTATATTATTATTTTTTATGATTATTTATTAAATTATAATTTATGATTTTGTTTTTTCAAATTTTATCATACCCGGGATGTTTACTAGACTCTTGTTCGGACAGATTTCAGTGAGTTATTCCTAAAAATTACAGGCCTACAATAAAAAAAAATACATATTTCCATGCAAAAAAATGTACTGCTTTGAGCACAGAAATACTGACATAATCAGACCGCTAGGGAGGCTACGGATTAGTAATATGCAATATATTACATTTTTGATTTTGGGTTTCAACATCTTAACTTCTCCTTCAGTCCAACGGTTCAGAAATAAGGAGTAATGCCTCTTTTTGTTTGCTCCAGTGGGGTCCCTTCAGCAGTGTAACCAGTGAGTAGGATGTGTTACTTTTTTCTTACATCCTAGAAACATTGTTTTTTCCTCCTCCTTTCTCTTTTCACCAGGGTCTGGCTCAGCTATCCTTTTCATCAGTTTATTCTGGGTACTGAACTCCTGTATGTATTTCTGAACATCCGCCCTTATACATGTTAAGTGTAGCTCACTGTACCTATATATTTACATGTATTTTGTTGGTGTGATTCAACAATGGAGTCAATATCTTTGCTGCATTTTGCTTGATGTGATATGACATAGGTGGATACTTGTACCTATTGTATAATTGTATGTATATACCTAACACAATTAGGTTGCTAAAGCTGGCCATACAATAACATTTTCTTATTTAATTTCCTTTAGATTTACAAATTGAAAGTGTCTGCATACATATTAAAAGTGTTTAGGTTTGTCCTCACATTATAAGGGTTTGGTAAATCTATAGGATAATTGTACAAGAAAATTGCATAAAGTTTGTTCAGCCTAAAGCATTTTTGTTATGTGGTGTGCTTACTCTCTAGACAATTAAAATAGGAAAGAGCACTGGAGCAGAGTTACCGCAAGGTTTAAATGCTTGTTAGATTTTGTGTAATTCCTGGAGTTGGGCTTTCATTAAAGGTCAATTGAACCCTCTTAATTTATTACAGTAAAGCAGACCGGTGGTAATGCTATCTGCTATGTGCTGTAGCAAGGGTAAAAAATCCTGTGCACATAGGAGAATTAGACCACCACTCTCACACACAAGCCACCACCCCCCCCCCCCCCCAGCTCTTTGACACACCTCTTGAACACTGCCCTAATCAGCAACACCCTTCAATAAGCAAGAGCAATATGTATTTATTTTATTCATTTAACACAGGGTTTAGTAGGATGTGTTGGACCACAGGAAAACTGAGCCTTTTCTTGTAAGAGCCGAGTTTGACTCTCCTAATGCTGTCAGCACAGGTAAGTAAAAAGAGGCATATGTATCACTGTGTATGCAGCCTGCATTACAGTAATAAATTAAAAGAGTTCAGCTGAGCTTTAAAACAGTTGGGCACTACTTAGCAACCAGTGATCATTGAGATAATAAAGACTTTGGTCAGGATTGTGTAATGTAGAGTCCCAGCAGCAAAGCGAACACATCCTACTAATTATAAATAATGCCTCTTGTGCTGATTTTTAAAAAAGGATGTTTATTATTTGGCCAATCTTCAGGCTTGGGGGGGGGTCTGCTGATGCGTTGGTGCATGCTGGAGTGGTATTAAATATCTGGGGCACTTCCTGGCACATGGTCCTCGCTCTTGGCTTTTGACCTGAAAGTACACTTTTACAACTGTAAAAGCTGTCTTGTCCTTAGACCTTAGGGACATGGGAAGCTACAAGGATCTCCCTTCCTAGGAGAGCAGACTGCAGTGCTCTCTCACATGAAGGTGGTGGGTAACTGGTTGAGTAGGAAAGAAACCTTTAGATTGCTGTCTTGCCTTGAATTCTAAGAAAGAACTACCACTAGAACCTCCTTTTCAAGGAGTAATTTTTGAAGCTTAAAGCTGAACTCCAGGAATTCAGCCACTTTGTACAGTGTGCTGAATTACTATGGGTAAAGTCCAATGAGGTGCATGCCATCTCACTGACTTATCTCCTTAACTTACAATTTGTATTTTTACTGAGTCGCAGGAACATAGCTATCACTATAATTCTGGCATCCCATTGCTGGATCTTCTGGTCTCAGCTACTGCAGCTGCTGTGCCAGCCTCCCCCCCCCTCCTGCCCAATCACAGAGTGCTTTGTATTATGTGATTGCTTTGTATTATGTGAACATCATTCACAAAATACAAAGCCTTCTGTGAATAAACAGTGGAGAGGTGGGCAGAGTGTCTGTTGTATGAGAAGGCAGTTTCTCTCCTGTCATCTTCAATAGCTGTAATCCCAGTGCTCCATAAAATGGCCAGATGTAAATAAAAGTGATAAGAGAGGTAGCATGTAACTCACTGGACTTAACTCAGAGTATGCCAGCAAATATTACAAAGTGCCTGAATTTCTGGAGTTTAGCTTTAAGTGTCCAGTCATTATAGCCCTATGAGAGACAGACCCATGAGGTTAGAAAAACTTGAATGTGTTTTGGGTTTAATCTGTTTGCACGCACAACCAATGATGTGATTTGATGTGGGATGTCCATGTCTGGATACATTTGTCTGCATCCAGGGTCGCTCATCTGTCCCTAGCTGCAGGCAACCACTGGTCGTGCCAATACACAAGGACAGTGACAGTTCCTCTCAGGCTGTCATTGCTTTGTACAGTTGTTCTCATACACCTGTCATCACAGCTACAAGAATCTGCTGATTCTTGCCAGTGGAATCCAGTGTATGCAGATAATCACCCATGTTGAGAAAGCCTACGTTGTCTCAAGATAGTCAAACTTGAGGGCTGCATGCTTTTCCTAGCCAACTAATACTGCTGTTCTTTGTAGGTGGAAAAGCACAACTCAAATGGACTAAATCAGCAAGATCCTTTATTCTGCTTTTTCACTATTTACTATGACCCTCCCCCTTCACCCATCTTTTCTCCATTACTATTTCATTGACAGGATTCTTCTTCTAGCCATACTTTTTCTTTTTCAACCATTGCTGTAACTCTTGTGCATAGATGTTGGTGGCACATTATCCCAACTCCCTTCTCTGCATATTTCAGATGCCGAAAGTGGACCAAGAGTGCACACTGCACTACAAATGTGCTATGAGCAGTTGCAAATAACACAAATTTCTAGGGAAAGGGGAATGATTTTTTTTTGTGGCAGAGGAAGAATACAAAATGTATTCTTCCAAAGAATGTTTTCTCACTCAAGTTTCACTAAAAGTGGTTCTAAAGTCAAACAGTTTTTTTTTTTTTCCTTAAATGCATTCCCTGAATTAAGGTAAAAAGCTCCCCACTTACTGTTCCCCAACCTCCAAACAATTACCTGAATCCTGTCAGTGATTCAGCACTGTCTGGGTTGCAGCTCTTCTCCCTATATTTAATGACCTCACAGAAGACACAGGCAGCACCTGGAGCCATGGCTCCTGCTGCTCTCTCAGTCAGTCAAATCCTGAGGGTGGAGTGGGAGGCATGTCTGAGTTGCGCTGTATATGTCAATGGATGCACACAGCCTGGCTCAGGAGTGTGCCTGCAAAGGTGCCCTAATAGCACATGGCTTGCTATGGGGGCACCTGCAGGAAGAAGATGCCGAGAGAACCAACGGGGGACCTCAGAAGAGGAGCAAGGGACCATTGCACAGAGTAGGTAAGTATAACTTATTTTAATTTTAAAATAACCAGACACATCTGGGCCATTCGGAATTTGTGAAGCAATTAGTCTGAAAAAACATTACATTCATTAATGAAGGGGGTCACAAGGTTCTGATGCATATCTGAAGTCATGTATTGGAGAATGGCCAGGGGACAATGTGTGAACCTCTTATAAATAGCATGGTGCATCATGTTTTCTGTGACCCTATGTGCTATTTTTAACACAAGTGGGAATCTCCATGACTCAGGAACTATTTTAAAGAGTCTCTAAATCTGAAACACATGTTTGCTAATACAGATGAGTTAATAATTGCAAGTAGATAGGTAGAAGATTCAGGAACATATTAGCAGCATTTACTCACGTTGCTTGCATTTCCCCACAGCCCTGATCTGTCACCAAGATACACAGTACTTCTGGATAAGGGGAAACACGTGACATTTCCCTTGTCTTTCCATGCATGGGAGTGTGGGAATGTGGGGAGCAGGCAGGTCTTTTTAAGTTCTATTTTGATCAAAGAAATCTTGGTAGTGGATCAAGGTGATGCAGGGAAGATAAATACATGGTCCTTATGGTCCGTATATTAAATTGGACTTGGTAATTTTCCCAGCATTAGTACTGGTTCAGATTTCAGTGTTGTCACGCTCTGAGTGACAATTAAACAGGCATGAAACACTTTACCCATATGAAATTTTTATGATTTTGTTTAGACAGATAGAGCTTTCAATTGGTGGTATTTAATCACCACTGGGTTTTTTTCTTAGTTTCTGTTATAACATTTTGCAAATAAATAACTTTCTTCATAAATTTAGGCCACAATGTATTGTGCTACCTTTTTTTTAGTAAACAGTAACCACAAACAGTGTATATTATTTAGTCTGTGTGAAAGTTATAGAGTCTACAAACTATGGTATATATATATGAAAATTGATCAGTTGAGACCCTAAAATGCTGGATGTTGGTATGGCATACGGCAGTGATCAGGGCGCTTGTATGGGGTTTGGCAGTGATCGGGACCTGTTATTGGCTATGGCCATAATCAGGACGTTGGTATGGGGTATGGAAGTGATCAGGATGCTGGTATTGCATATGGGGTGATCAGAACACTGGTATGAGGTATGGCGGTGTCACGTACCTGATAGAATGAAATGATGAGGTCGTTCTGACTTGTGTCACTAGCCCTGACCTCACTGGAAGTGGA